TGGAGCATTATGTATCAGGGTGCAATTCCCGTAACGGTTTATGTCAACGAATGCAATGTCGTCGTTGGCTACGATTACTTTGCCCCCGATTTACGAACCCGAGTAATCATGGAGTTCTTTAATATCCAGGCAAGCTAAGATATGAGTGCGCGTAACCACGGTCTAAACACTCGCGTCGGCCACGGCTGACTTGCCATATTGTACATTCATTTTGTCTCTTCTTTTGTTATATAAAGTACTTCTGCTTAGCGCAGGTTATCAGACTTTACTTTTCGCCGCTTACAACGCGCTGATATTCCCATAACTCCCGTAAATCGATTTTGATTCTCTCTGAGACGATAAATCCTTTCTGTGATATCTTATCAAGGGATCTCAAGATCTCGTCACTTTGTGAAGGCTTAGCGGTGTTTGCCCCAGCCATTCGGAGAGGGAATAGAAGCAATATCCCCGGTATGTTCGAATGTTCGAGGATTTCGTTTGACAGAGCTACCACGGTAGTGGCACTCGTCTCGATTTCACTTGATGTTAGCGAGGGGATCTCTTGCTCTCTCCAACAAGTATAGTAGGTATAGTTTCCGCACAAAAACAATTGGAGGGCATGGTAATTCGCTAGGGCTAGTTTGCAATACGGATCAGAGTGATCAATGTTTGGTGTGAAATCGGCGTGCCAGCTCTGAAGTCGCTGCTGGGAACAGCGACCTTCCTTAGCTAGTATATGTATAGTCGGGTGCGTAGGTCGTAGTATCTCTGGAATAGACTCGATAACGTTGAAGAAACTATCTTCATTTAAGCTTCGCTTCGATCAAGTAACAGTGAGACTTACGCTGTGCTAAATGAAGAGATCTCGACTAGGAAGCCGAAGACTATTTCCATTGGGCTTGCTAGGTTTATTGCAAGTTGTTGCTGACACTTTGGCCATGTGTCCTGTGATAGAAATGTTTTCTCGCCGTATAGAATGGCGCGGTTCGCCTCTAGCAATTTAAATGCCCCAAAGAGTCTTTTGCTGAGCTGACCAGATTGGATCGTCGTTCCAGAAGCTTGGATTATCCGCGCCGTCCCGTATAGCATATGTTTAGCCCATGGGTCTCCCGATGTTTCAGTCATCAACTAAAGCAACAATCAATGCGATTCACCTAATAATAACGACGAGGACTTACTTCGAATAGTCCGAGAAGTAACGTACACCAAAGAACCCCTTCACTGCATAACGCTTTCGATAACTGCAGCTGGCCCTGAAGTATTTTGAGTGACTTTCCATAGGACACAAAAGCAACGTTATATGGTGACTGCCGCCCGCAAGAAGATTTAACACTTGCTCGCCTGCTGGCTTCGAGCGCGCCAATCGCCCTTGCCACTTCTCTAAGCGGTGGACATGTTTGAATTAGAGGTAGAAGGTCGGCGCCCAAGTTATTAAACTCTTCTGTAAACTGACAACGCTTCATGAAAAGGTCAAAGTAGTCCAAATAAATAACATCGAAGTGTGTATCGACTCGCATAGGCAGTTCAGCGACCTGCACAACTTGTTCAGAGATTTGAGTGCTGATGAATTGTACTTTGGTTGCCGAGATGACTTGAGGCAGGCATGGTTTCTTGGTTCGAACACAGTATTCGCAAGGAGAACCACCTTGACACTTTTGACCATGCGTGAGCCAAGCGACGCTCAGTGTGTGAAATGGCTGCTCATACCTTGATGCGCCTCTTGGCGCATGACTGACAACGAGTCAATGTCCTGCGCTTATCTAGAGGGCCAACGTTACGCTTGATTTTCATCTGAGGGCTGTGACGATGTCTTTGTGTCAAAGTGAAGTTTCTATCTCTCCTAAGCCACCCGGACAAGAGAATAACATTGGTGTCGCTAGTGGTGATTGGCGAATGGTAGTGCGCGCCTCCACGTAAGCTCCACTAACCTTGCTCGATTTAGAAATAATTGAACGCACCTCCACAATCTCGTCATCGTATCAAGTTACGGTTCCCTTTGCTCTAAATATAACAAAATAAGGCAAACTCTGGAGGCAATCTTACTGTATTTTACTCACACCCTAGATATCTCGATCTTCGGAGAGAGACGCGTGCGCAGTCGAGCTTCAACCATCAAGCTGCTTGCATCTCGACCTTGGCCGATTGTAAGGAAGGCAAATAACGAGTCAGTCTAAGTGACGGAAAGGGTCAAAGTGACTTCACTATCTTCTGCGCAAGAGCACGGCAATGTATATACTAAAGAGCCTAACAAATTCATTGCTTCCTCTGCATGTGAACGTGATTTCCGTAACATTCAACACTGTAGTAATAGATGAGCTGTAAGAGGTTGGTCACCCTGAGCACTTCGTGCTAATTTTTAGTGGGTGCAAATGTGCATCGTGCATAATGTTGAAACCACTACCTCGTCACGGTCACCAAAGATTATTACGTAGTAAATACTTCTAAAGACGTGCCCAATTGGCGACCTAAGTAGAGAAATCATACCGCCATGGAACGGCACAGTAACTCTCTTACCTATAGACACGGCAGTGGTGTCGTTAAGGAAATCAATCGAGGTTGCCTAACGAAGTTGCAGTGGAGTGTAGAATGTGATGGCCTGATTGGTTAGCCAGTTTCTCAATGCAATGGGGAGACACGGAATCTACGGAATTCCTATCATCCGTCGCCCTTTTTCGAGGGTACGGCTCAGCATGCCATCAACCTGCAAAGGGTCTTGCAATCAGGCATCTTGAAAGTTTCCTTACAAATTCTGCTACGGGATAGGAATTCGATTCTGCTATTTTACGTATTGCTCCCTCTTCTGCGTGTCTGACGTCAGTACGCACGCAATAGACCCGTTCCCGAATATGTCCGAAATGGCGACTCCGGCTCCGTACGGCAGGGCGTGTAACAACTGCGCCAAGGCCAAATGCAAATGCATTCTCCGTCACGTGGAGGGCCCTTGCGAAAGGTGAAGCTGAAGTCGGGGGTAAAACGACATAATGAATGCCTTGGCTGACTTGATTGAAACAGGTGTCTTCGATTACATAAAGACTGTCAGCCAGCTCCAAATGTCCGCAGAAAGCCGGGACGGCGACCTGTTTCGAAGACTGCCCAGCTACAGGAGAAGTTAGACGATCTGGTCACGCTACTGCGATCGTCAGCAAGCACCCGTGCGGCGGCAGACACGTTCTTCCAAGGCACTCAACCGGTGCAGCTCAACTCCGGCGGCATCTCTGAAGCCTCCGGCTCGGTCGGAGGTGTCCACAGCGCCGAGGTTGGTCCAAGCGCACCGTATACCGACCATGCTGCTGCGTATGCCTCGCCAATGTCAATCGCTTCGCCGTATGATGATGTGTCTCCTCAGGAAGCAGAGGAATGCCTCGAGCTATTTCGCAGCCATAAGCTGAAATATTTCCAATTTGTTCATATCCCTATCACAGTCACAGCAGCACAACTGCGCGAAGAGCGACCTTTCCTATGGCTGAGCATTCTAGCTGCTACAGTGAAGTCTGCAACAAAGCAGCAGGCTTTTGGAGTCTTGTTACGGAACATGATAGCAGAGCGAGTAGTCGCCCAGCATCAGCGGAGCTTCGATATCCTGCTAGGGCTTTTAGGATTTCTCGGATGGGCTACTTATCACTTCGGTCCGCATCCTTTCATGACAATGTACTGTCATTTGACGACTGCTATCGCCCAGGATCTAGCTATCGACAAGTCCCCACCTAGGCCAAGTGATATACATCCCATGGCTTGTGTGACAAGGTATGGATTTGTGGTCAAAAACCCACCTTCACTTGTTCGAACCATGGAAGAACGTCGCGCTGTTTTGGCTTGCTATCTTGTCACTGCCTCGTAAGTCTTTACCCATTTCTACAAGTTTACAAGATGCTAATTTTGGATACCAAGAGCATCGAGATTTTTGAGGAGACATTTGACCTTGTCGTGGAATGCCTATATGGATGATTGCTTGAGGATGCTCGAGGATGAGAGAGAGACGCCCCTTGATCGTGTCCTCGTGCACCAGGTCAAACTCCAGCGTATTGCAGATGCAGCTCCAAGCTCCATGTTAAGCGATATGGAGTTATCTGGGCAGACGAAACTCGTTCGAGACTTTCAAACAAGAGCGCTACTCTCCAAACTAGAAGAAGTAAAGCAAAGTTTGCCACTGGATCTTCCGGATGATTGTAAGCATTCGTCCGTAGGCTTCGCATTTGACACGGTTCTGACCTATTTCAGTGGCTATGATCTGCCGTTTCCACGCAATCGCTACGGAAGGGGAAATCAATGAGGCAGCTCTCTTCCCAGCTGGACCGAGGGGCAGCAGTCCTGACTTACAGCGAATAAGCATGCTCTCAACAAGCCTACAGCTGACCAAAATATGGTTTGATGAGTTCCTCAGTCTGCCTCCATCCGAATGCTCTATGGTAGCATTTCCGACATATTCGCAACTAGCCTATTTTACAGTTGTTTTGTATCGTCTGTCAACTCTTGACGATCCTCACTGGGACAAGGCTGCGGTAAGACATACGTACGATGCCCTACAACTCCTGGATGCTCTGACTGCAAAGATGGCACAAGTCGCGGCTGCCTCGGGAATTATAAGCGATAGACCCGACGGAGATACATTCACCAAAACTTCGAAAGCAATTGAGCCGATCAAGGCGGCATGGGAGCCTGTGCTTACACAGACGCAAGGGCGGGAGAAATCCGCAGGGGTTCCATTCGAGCCAAATGTTCTGGACAACTTTAGCTTTGATGTCGCAGACGGACTGAACGGCTGGCTTACAGATATGTTCACTCCTGGGTGGGATTCGATGCCGTAGGCACGGCCGTGTGGCTGGAAGGATCGTAATCATAGTGATGGCGGGGCCATAACTGGAGTCCGGAGTTCCGTTTTTCTCCAATTCCGCTTCATATTCAATCCTGCGGCTCTCCGATTAGAAATCGGCAAATAATGTAGAGAATAAATAGAACCTCTGATAGAATAATGTGAGTAAAGATATCAAGTGATCCTCTAGCACTGGGAGATAGATTCGAAGATGGGGTCAGAAAAGTCGCCGATTGAGCCTGGTCCAACCCAGGACTTAGATGTGTTCCCCTCAGATGTGTCCACCACCCTCGAGAAAGAGGAACAACCAACCACTGGTACCTCTGGATCCCCGTCAGAAATCGCACCCGATGATGAACCGGAGGCCAGTGATGCTCCACAATACATTGGCGGCACGCCGTTGTATATTGCCATGGCATCGCTCACCCTCGTGGCTTTCCTCATGTTACTAGATATGTCCATTGTCGCTACAGTATGTGGTCGAGAGTTCTAAATCAAATGACCGAGCTAATTTTCGAGTAGGCCATTCCTCAGATTACGACCGACTTCAATTCTTTGGGAGACGTGGGGTGGTATGGATCGGCGTACAACCTAGCAAGGTATGTCCGAATAACTCCTATTTGCGATAGTCAAGTCTAACATTCTTCTGAAGTGCAGCTTTACAGCCGCTCAGCGGAAAATTGTACACGTACTTTAGAACGAAGGTTGCATCATACTCTCCTTAAAATGAGGGACGGCTATTCTAACTTCTTGTAGTGGATCTTCATGATTTTCGTCTTCATTTTCCTCGTCGGCTCCTTGCTTTGTGGAGTGGCTACCTCGTCAAAGATGCTAATCGTGGGCCGAGCGGTGGCGGGAATGGGAACATCAGGAATTCAGAACGGAGCCATTACGATCATTGCAGACTCAGTCCCTCTACACAAACGACCAGGTATTTTCCTACTTCCTAGTGTCTTCTTCCTTCATGTTCGTTAGCTAACGCAACTTCTCCGCAGCATTCACGGGCATCCTTATGGGTGGTGCGTTCAATTTCGAAGATTGAATTATCATGGTAGATGCTAATCAATAACACAGTCAGCCAAATTGGAATTGTAATTGGGCCTCTCTTAGGTGGCGCCATCACGGAGTATTCTACTTGGAGGTGGTGTTAGTAATTACCGCTCTCGTTTCTAATGCCTCTTGCTGACGCAGTTTCTTCAACAGGTTTCTATCTCAACATGCCTGCTGGTGCTATTGCTATGGTGATTCTAGTCTTCACGAAAATTCCTGATCGACGCAAACCCACGGCCGAAAAGCTGACGGCCAAGAATGTGATACCCAAACTCGATCTTCCAGGATTTGCGATTTTTGCCCCTGCAGCAATCATGTTCCTGCTAGCACTCGAATATGGCGGTCAAACTTATCCTGGAAATCTGCGACGGTCATTGGACTTTTCGTCGGCGCTGGCGTGGCGTTTGCCGTCTTCTTTGGATGGGAACACCGTGAAGGCATGAACGCCATGATCCCCACGTCCATGATTGCCAAGAGAGAAGTGTGGACTAGTTCGATCGTTGGACTGCTGACATTTGGCGGCCTGATGTTCATCAGTAGCTATTTCGTACCTATTTATTTCCAGGCGGTTGGTGGTGTGTCTCCTCTCATGAGCGGAGTCTACACCTTACCTGCTATTATAAGCAATTTGATTGTCGCAGTACTCAGCGGCGTCTTAGGTAAGTCAGCTGCGGCGACAAAACGGCCTCCTAATATGATGTCATTGGAATGATTCCTAATTGATGGACAATAGTTGGAAAATTGGGCTACTATATCCCCTGGACTCTCTTCAGCGCTATCGTCTCAGCAATAGCTTATGGTCTCTTCACTACTCTGAAGCCGAGTAACTCGCGAGCAGTGTGGATTGGCTATCAAATTGTCCTGGGTATTGGACGCGGGAGCAGCATTCAAATGGTAGGTTAGCCGTGTTAAGACTCGATTGTTCCAGCCAACCCTTTGCACATTGTAAGCTCTAAAGCAAAGCTAACATCAATAGCCATTGATCGCCATCCAAACAGTCCTTCCGCAGAATCAAATTCCCATTGGTATGGCTGTCCTGATCTTTGCCCAAACTTTCGGTGGAGCTGTTATGCTCTGTGTTGGCAATACGATTTTCAATAACAATCTCCGGACAAAACTGTTTGACTATGTTCCTGGTCTTGACGTTCAAGCCGTCATTGCTGCTGGTGCCAATGGTTTCCGGCAAGTAGTCACCACGGCCCAATTGCCTAACGTGCTGCGGGCCTACTCAGACAGTATTGATCTGGTTTTCTGGCTTGGTGTGGCCTCTGCGTGTGTTATTTTTGTGCTAGCATGGGGAATGGGCTGGAACGATATCAGGGAAAAGAAAAAGCCTGCGACACCTGGACCGACGACTGAAGGTGATGCTGCAACTGCAGTGTGAAGAGTTTAAGGATGACGGCATGAACGTGACCTTAAAGCATCATAGATATTTCATTTTACTGTAACATTATGTAGATATCCCTTGATAGAAGTTCAGTACGCAACTCATCATAATAGACGTGGCCAATCTACGACGGTTGGTTCGTAATACTATACTGACTATAGACATCTGATGAACGATAGAGAATTGTTTAAATAAAAGAAGGACTGAGATTACGATGACAGATTTATAGGAGGGATGATGCTGCAAACTTTGACCTCATGAATTCCATATATCTCTCATCTGCATCATCCAAGTTCTCCCCATCCCTTGTACCGGCCATTCTAGCAGCGAGGTTGGCCCCGCCACCCTCGGGTGCGACGAAGTATCGGAGCTTCATCGTGCCGTCTGTTGCGGCCTCGAATATTTTCTCAGCAGGCTTGGTCACAGGCATACTCTCCGTTGCCATAGATCCCATAACTCCAAAGACCTTCCCGACATACGCACCGTAGCGCTTCTGTAGATCAGTCCGTGTGCTCAAGAGAATCGTGATAGGTGCCGCATTACTGCTTGCTGCAAAATTCGTTGACTTGATCCCGCCATGCGGCACCACGATCTTGGTTATGATATTGGTAGCAGCTAGTTCGTATGATACCGACTCAGCAAAGAGGTCTAGCGCAGACTTGCTTGCCATGTAAGGGCTCATCAGGGGCAGTCCAAAGTGTGCCGCTCCCGAGCTGGTGAAAATGACCAATGGAGGGGTATTCGAATCTCCTGTCTCATGGAAATGCGGTAGAAACGCCTTGGTTAGAGCAATTGGACCTAATCAGAGATTCAGAACGACAGATCCGGGACGAACAATTGCAATGACATACCAAAGACATTGACCTCAAATTGCCGTCGGTAATCTTCCATACTCAGGAGCTCAAGCATCCCTGGCTGCCCGTACCCAGCATTATTGGCAAGGACATCGATCTTCTGAATTTGGCTACACCGGCATCTATGGCAGGTTTGAAAGAACCCGACTTCATTAAACCAAGCTCATGAAGAAGCAGTTGCCCTTGGTACGTTTTCCCAAGCTCCTGGAGATCGGGGGAGGAAACTGTGGACCTGGCAGTCGCCACGACATTCCACCCTTCAGATAGGAAAAGCTTTGTGCTCGCTAGGCCTACACCAGAGTTTGCACCCGTGATAAATATTGTGCGAGTCATTATGGCGTTGATATATCAACTGTTGAGTCGGGCAAAAAAAGCGGCTCGTAGTACAACAACAAGAGCGCGAATGATCAGACTCCTTCTTATGAGAATTGCGGAACAAGCAGCCATGTTCAAAGTTTGAGTCCAAGGTAAGATTATATATAGGTTTCCAATCATGGATTCTAATCTGGCCGCAGTTGAATAGTCTTTTATGCCAAATTTCACATCGGGAACGGAGATCGGGGGAGTTAAGGAAAAGATGGTGATCCGTTGGTCAGTATCGAACTGGACCGGAGAGAGCCAGTGATAAAATCGTTTGGCAAAGTATCGCCGCTCCCTTCGTTAATCGTGCTTCGAGTCGGAGACGGAAGAGGCGTTCTAACATTTTAACGTAAGCCGCGTGGGGCAGCGGGGAGATGGCCGCCGCCCGGATTTGAGGCTTCCTCCGGGATCTCGTCAGCCACCGGAGCTATGCGGGATTACATCAGCCATCAGCAAGATTTTTTGTACTCTGTCACCCTACTCGGTAGTTCAAGAAGCTTGAATGCGATTCAAATCCTATACCTCGTTCATCAGCCAAATTCTGCTAGGCTGTGATGGACTACCATTTGGACAAGTCTGCGCCGCAACTCGGCGGTCAAGGAAATGAAAACGGCGGCGGTGGAGCACGTAAACGCAAGGCCACAAGGAGAGATCCGGAGAAAAGACGCCTGCAAAATCAATTGGCACAGAAGAAATATCGTATGTGGCAGCCAATCTATATGACAAGTCCTGTCGGTTTATTCTCCTGTATGCAGATCTAGCACGCTAATCTTCAACATGGTCTAGGCGAGAAAAGAAGGCAACGTCTCGAGGAACTAGAGGATTTGGCTGCATCTATTACCGCCGAGATTTCTGATGTAGGAGCCCTTGAACAGGGCCAAAACCTATCTACCCTACCAGGGGTAAGCAACGCCCAAGACAATACTTTGAGAGATACGCAATGCTCTCTGAGCACATGGGCGACCGATTCTATATCTGATATGACACTGGGGAGGGAGCGAACACAAAGATTAACTGCGTCGTCCCTCGATCCGCGCCTCTTGACAACGGGCAACAATCAAGAATGGACTCTTTCTTTCTTTGATTGCGGATGCACTATTCCTCATATCGAAATCGGGGCGACTAGTGACGGCATGAAAAATGCTCTACGAGCAGTCGCTGCGGTGAGCCTACCCGGAGACCCATATCTCAATGTCATACGAGTCGAGCGCATTTGCCTTATCCAGGCCATGAAGATGAATTGTCTCCAGATAGGTATCACCGACACTGCCTTCTGTGCAGACGATTCCATCTCGCCATTCTTCCGGGCGACGAATAGGAACTGTGGGAATGACAGTCTTGTGCGAACCGTGCAAGGCATTTTTCGGACGATCCGGCCAGATCTTCGTCCGACAGAGAAGCAAATCACATTTTTGCATCATCCCTTCGTTGACATTCTTCCATTCCCTGGTTTGCGGGATAATCTCCTCACATGTATTGACAACGCTAGTATCGACGAAGACGAGTTCTTCTATGATGCATTGAATGGCCTAATTTGTGGGGCGGCGCTGGGGTATCGAGAAGGGACAATATTGGCGTAGCTAGTGGGACACCATGGGACGTGAGAAGTTGGGAGGCAAGAGAATGGTTCATCCAGAAGTGGTGGTTCATCTTAGGAGGAGAAGAAGGAGAGCTTGTGAGGCAGTCAAGGTGGTGGAGGACACTAAGAGGAGACGATACAGAGACGAGGGGACTACTTTGTTGAGACAAGAAGATAAGAGTCGGCTTCCAAGGACAAGGACGAGCAATGATTACTACATAATGGTAAATGCCTTAACCTCACTCCATAAGAGCAGATGCAGTCTTGTGAGAGGCGGCATCGTTGGCCCCCGTATGACATTTGCCCGTAAGGTTCGTTCCTGTGCACACGAGATAAGGTACATCATAACAACCCGGTAGTGATGAGACCACAGGGGTGTTGAGTGTGCATATCATCCCGATATCCTGGTTAACTACCTACCCTTAATTGGAAGTCATTGGTTTAACAGATTGTAGGCATTTAGATGAACAGAGGTAAGAGAGGGAGTACCTCGGTTGAGGCCCTTTTTACAGCACAACCGGGATGAGCGGTTTATTCTTTCTCCAAGGTCTCCACGCATGAGCCACCCCGCATTCGTGTGGTGCATCACTGCCGATAATATAGATGCGGAAATGGGCTGGAATTCAGCCCTAGCTGCCGCGCGTTTGCGGGGAAATTGAACTTGGCACACTTGGGTCCGATCTTGAAACGAGATCTATCCACGGAATAAGATTTGACTGCCGACCTATGATTGAGACGAAGATGATATGAAACTGGCCTTGAAAATCGGCTAGAATTCACACTCAGCCAAAATCGCAAAAGAATCACCATATAATCACACAGCTGAAGTACTTCTAGGATTGAATTAGAGAATGGCGACGCAAGACACTTACAGAGCTGCGATAATTACTGTGAGTGGATTAGGACAGTCTAAAGGAGATCCTAACCTCAGATAGGAGAAAGGGCACAACCCGAAATTCGAGATTCAAACCCTCCCAAGGCCTAATCCAGGACCGAATGAAGTCCTTGTCAGATTAAACGTTACAAGTATCTGTGGATCTGACTGTGGACAAGCAGCTGGAGAGCTTGGGCCAACCCGCTCCATCTTGGGACACGAGGGCGTTGGGCGGATTGCCGGTCTTGGGGAGAATGTCACGTCAATCGATCCCTCAGTCCAGATCGGTCAAAGAGTAGGAGTTGCATGGACACGAGATGCATGTGGATCTTGTGAATTCTGCACAAATCTTCAAAACGATGGGGAGACCCGATGTGCTAAGGCTTTTCACTCGGGACGTGTGGTTGATGGCACCTTTGCGGAGTACACGCTCGTGCCCGTGCGGTATCTCACCAGGATTCCTGAGCGGTTTGATGATCTTTCCGACGAGGAGGTAGCACCAGTTCTCTGCGGTGGAGTAACGGCATATAAGGCAATCAAGTGCTGTGGCGTTGTTCCTGGACAGTGGGTTGCGGTTTCTGGAGGAGGTGGCGGCGTCGGAGCGTTCGCTGTGGCATATGCAAGAGCCATGGGATATCGTGTCATTGCCCTGGATGCTGGCAAGGAGAAAGGAGAGTATTCACTTGCTCAGGGAGCCGAGCATTACATTGATGTCACCGCGACGGATGATGCGGGCGAGGCCGTCAAGCAGCTCACGGACGGGATCGGAGCCAGGGCTGTCATTGTAGCAGCTGGAGTTGGCGCAGCATACAGAGCAGCCTTCAGCATGCTCGGACCTTTTGGCACACTAATGTGTGTCGGAATCCCTCCTCCGGACCATCTTGTAAACTTTCACCCCGTCTTCTTCGTCTCCAAAGGATGGCGTGTTTTGGGCTCGGCTGTCGGCACAAGAACCGATATTCTGGAGGCCTTAGAATTCGTAAAGAGGAAACTGGTGACACCAAAGATTCAATGGGGTAAATTTGAGGATATCGCGTCTCTCCTAGTTGATGTCGCAAAGGGAAAAGTAAGCGTTCATATCCTGTTCTGTGGATACCTGACTCAAGCCGCTGACCGTTACATCCTAGATACAAGGAAAGTACGTTGTGAAACTGTCGAAATAGATAAGTGAATGTTGCAAAGTAAAGCGTATACATTGATAACCATGTGCATAATGGTGTGTTTACTATATATTATAATAAGTGATTCTCGCCTCTTCATGGTTGACTTCACTTGTGCGTCTATTGATCACACTCTGGAAATAACAGCTAATAATTTTCCAAATGCTTATTATTGATAGCCCTCTCTGCACGAGCAACATCTGAGTTTGAGATCTCCTACTCAATTGGCTTTGGATACCTCGTCGCGCGTTATGACCCAAAGTTTCTTTGTGAAAGGCCCCTTGGAGGTCCAGGTGATATGCATACCTGAAGTCAAACCAATCGCATCACCAGCTTTGAAGAAGTGTTTTTTCCCGGTCTCTGTCTCAGTCACCTCCACCTCTCCAGCCAGCAGCAGTATTGTCTCATCTCCAAGAACACCCGTATATGGCGTGATCAAAGTTCCCTTGTCATCAACATTCGTTCCAGCGATCCCTTTGCCTGAGCGCCACACGCCGCTGAGCATGGTCCCCCTGGACCCGCCGCTGCGGATGAAATAGAGCTCCCCAGCTACCTGCGGGCCCTCCTTTGGTTCGGTGAAATGGTAGTCTGTCCACTCGGATGGATTGTCGCTTGCATGAGTGATTTTCAAGTCGGTTGGAGCATTTGGAGCATCTTCGCTTCCGTCAAAGATACACCACCATTTCTTGAAAAAGGGTGCATCTATCTCCCAGAGAACTTCCAGATTCTTGGGGGAACTGACAATTGACCCAGGGCCGATGCTATATCTCTTGCCGGTTGAGACGACAGTAAGCGTTGCACTACCATCAATAACACAAGCCGTTTCGTCACCAAGAGGAGCAGAGTAGATACTCTTGCCGAATCCATCCGCACCTATCCCGGGGCTGCCGGGCCCAGTCCTCCAAAAGCCAGATGCAAGCTTTCCGCTTGTCCCGAACTTACGGGCATAGCTGACCTCGCCGAAGGCCTGCGGGCCAAGTTTAGGCTCATCCCATTCAAACGGTACCCATTCATTTGGAGCTGGCACCTGAGTGCTACCGTGAATGACATGTGTTGTTGGTTGAGCCATCTTTGAGAACAATGAAGGACTTTGTAAGCGATTAAGAACAACTATGCTTGTAATTGTAAGCGATTACATTGATCAACTTATAGCATGTGAACATCGGGAGACATTAGTATTCTTATACCCTCCAACCCACTCTACTTGGCCTCAATACTATCGGTGTTGGCGAAGCTGCAGAAGAGGCAAGCAATTGGCTATGGATGTGGAAGTGTACCGGGACCTCGCGTAATGCGCAGTGCTAGCGAGATACACCTCGTTGATGGTTATCATTCTTCTTGTCCTGTTACACTCGCGATCACTAGATTCTAAGCTGAGTGTCGCGCGAAGCTTGCGGAATGCTAGATCCGCACATGATACCACTCCCCACACCATGTTTTCATGGACGCGTCTGTGGATCCTGATGCGATACGGGTCGCCGAGAGGATACGTCCAATCGCAACGCATAATTGCGCGGATATCAAGATACCCGCACATGATAGAGTGAAATAAAATTTAGACTTTTCTAGGGAATCCTGGGGGTGGAGTATTTCAAAATCACAGTTTGTAGGGCCCACCCACCGCACCGTTGCTCGCGTGGGGTCTGATCTCAAGAGACAAGGGATCATGAGCGGTTGCTTGGTCCGCTTCGCTACAGCATCCTACGCATATGAGAGCTATCAGATCTGTGGAGATCCGCGAAGACATACCGAGAGCGTCTTGAAAGTGTGACCTCAGTACGGTCGAAATTCGGCTTTTGGCAAAGCTGTTTGAAGATGGGCATCGAACTAAGATCCTGAATGTATCACTAGAGACGCCAACGAGTATTGCGTTATGTCGATACAATATCATGTCAGGAGGCTTAGTCTCAGGACGGACCCCTGAGCTATATGCGGAGAGTGGTACGGCACACAGAAAAGACCAACACCATTTCTCCTGCTTGAAACTTATCATTGCACAGAATTGTATAAATTTGAGGCCCAAAAAGTATGCTGCTTGGACTGATACGTGTTATTTGTGAACCGGGCAACCTGCTGGTTCCTCCGAGTAGCATTCCTCCTTTTTCTCACTGCTACTGACGATTGCATCCTTGAAGACTGCAAAGCTCGATGGTGTCTCCTCCATGACGGGAAAGTGAAATCCACATTGCGGACACGTCTCGTGTAGCACCGCCTGCTCCTGCGCGAGGTCGTATTTTTTATCTTGAGTATGGCTGCATACCGGACAAATGCGTAGTAGCCTTGTGCCGACAAGCTCAAAGTTGGTGATAATATCCTCCATGATGGCGCCGTTGGCGGCCCATGTCTTGCAGTATTTGTGATATGTATCCTTGTGCCAGTCGTAGAGTGCACCGCGGCTGGTCCAGAATGAGCATTCGTTGTACCAACTTCTATCGTCAGGATGCTCCCACCAGGTCAAGTGGAGGAATCCCGGTAGTTTCATGAGGTGGTTGCGCGTGTCTGCGAAGAGAACTTTGAACTTCTCGTAGGCATCGGGGCTAGAGAAGCGCACCCTTTGCATAGATAAATAAATAGGCATGATCACAAGTGAATAAGTCGGTTGTAGTTTCGTTCCTGAAGATAGAATAGACAGAAGTATGAATGTTTCCGGGGATTAAGGCGAACTTTGCTTTCGAAAGTGAACAGGAGAGAACTGTGTTGTCTTGGTACATGGATGCAAGCCTTTTAAGAGCCCGTTCATTGGGCCAATTTTGACCATGAACCATTTTTTACTTGAAGAACCTTGACTGGATAGCATTACAAAACTGCTGTAGTATCTCCGAGTGCAAGATTCATGTCTTGGCGGCTCCAGTATGTTCAAGATTCTTAGATAAGAGGGAGTTCCCGGTGTGGATGCCACAGCGGCCCCCTTGTTAATCATGAGCAGTACCGCACTTATCATGTGCGGATGTGCGGATCCGCACAGGAATATCCGCACACGTGCATCATGCCAAGATATCCATCTGTATACACTAAGTTACCTGGCTCCAGTCCCGGGGCCCAACTTGCCACCTACCATCAGTGACTAATTTGTGATAGATCAGCTCCTGTGGATCAGCGAGCTAAATCTACTCTAATTGAGCTGAATGGCGATTGATAGCATTCAATGTTCGAGAAAGAGGCAGTTGTTCATCTCTCAAGTCTCGCAGGGACCTTCAGTGATTCATATTGTTTCATGATTTAGCAAGAGTAATACAGAAACAAATACAACGGAATGACATGATTAGATGAGCGATTGTGCGCCATCTCGCATAGCCCAAGCTATATCAGTGTCATGGTCTTCATACGTTCTATAGCCCGATGATGAGGATCAAGGGGCATTCTCTCCCAACTCCTGCATTAATTCACAAGCGTTATCCCGAGCAATGGCCCATTGAATTGCCTCGAGCTCAATCGTCCCGATATCGAGATCGGCCGGCAACACGTCGTAGCCCAAAGCCGAATCGAATGCTTCTCCAGAGTGTTCCGCGGATCCACTTGAGCTATTGGGTAATTTGAAACCGAGTGGCTGGCTAAACTTCAAAGGCAACGCCTTGGTGACCCCCCAGTGAGCTGCCAGCCCCTGAATATATCGTATCGCACGACCTCCTTGTCGCTCCCACGTTTTTTGTATCTCCTCGAGACTATCGAGACAGATCTTGAGACGACGCCAGGAGCGGCGTTGCACTGTAGGATCGGTAGAGGTTGCAAGTAGTAAGTGGATTGACGCAGCCCGTACTGTGTAATAGATAACCACTGGCGGGCAATCGATAAGCTTGTATGCTTTTCGATATCGAAAGAGTAGATCTGTATGTGAAGATGCTACATGTACCATCTCCTGGAGACAATGAATCTGCTCGCTGATACTTCCACCCAGAAAAGGCAGGTATAGCGTGATTGGTGTGGCGTCAAACGCCATTTGGAGATAGTACAAAAATGGATGAGCCCCAATCTCGTCCTTGCTCAACTTCATGCGAGGGTTGATCGACTCTTTGAGGCGCATCAAAGCCGCTTGACACTCGAGGCGTAGCTCCTGTCGTTGGTTGTCTGGCATAAGGTCAAATCCAGGCGAATATAAGGTGTTCATGTAATAAGAATGAAATCTCCAGAGGCTCCACAAATGATCAAAGTAAAGCTTTTCGACGGTCACGAGAACCTCGGGCCCAAATGTCATGGCATATCGTGGGATCTGGATGTTATGGCGCCAAGGAATCGAAGTCATGCGTCCTAACAAGGTTGCGCATATCCTGTCAACGGCAGAGAAGGACCAGAAGACCTTCAGTCTCTCACGAAAATCACTTTGGTGCTGTTCTCGCTCGATGGTCTCGACTGACCAATCGAACACCCCTAGCTGCTGAAGAAGAGCAGCCGCCATGCAATTGAACATCCATGTGCGTGTTGGATTGCCTCCCACTGTGAGCTCTCGCCAAACCAACACTGTCAACGCTCGAGCAACGACAAGTGTTGCTTCCGGTGAGACGCACGCTCTCGTTATCATTCGCTCGGCGCACTGAACACACCCATCTCCAATATGGTGCTCTCGAGTGATGACCGTCGAGGCAGCGATGATTGCTAGCACAAGGACTAACACGTGGTAGGGTTGATCGAGGGATGGCGTCAATTGAGAGACGTACTCATCGTCGATAAGGCATTCAAAGCGATTAATCCGGTTCGAGAAGCATTCAAAGGAGGCCTGTCTAAATGCGGAATCGTGCATGCGAGAAGGCCATGCTGGTATAACATCCCAGTCAGCTGGGAGAGCAGGATCCAGGTCAGAGTCTTGCTCCAGCAGGTATATACTGGTCGACCCGAGACCTCCGGGCTTCACCCGACGTCTTGTCAATTGGCTGATCTCACGAGCGGCATTCGACATCCAATTCAGACCATGGCTTTGCAATGGTCCATCTGCGGGAGGGCTGCTGACATTGGGCGCCTTGGTGAATTCTGTATTCGGTGCTGCCCTTCCAGGCGATGCCTGCTGCGCCAATGACTCTACAACCGACTTCAAACGGGTTATTTCAGAGCGAAGAATGTCTTCCGTGTGCTTGCTACGGGCAAATAAGATAAAGCCTTGAGAGTAATCTTGCGACAACAGAAGTGGATGTGGGCATACTCACCCCCGAGACGATGGTGCTGAACGTGTGCCGTACTGGCAATGTTTGGAACGCCGACGGCAGAGGTTGCACACTGGTTGACCCCCGTCGCACTACATTGATAGGTATTAGCTAGGGGTCCGACCGCTCCTCACAGCCAAAAGGGTACCTGCCTTTCGCTTGCCTTGGCGACACGGTTCACATGCAATCAATATGCGGCGACGATCGCTGGCCATGGCTAGTCTAATGTGGTGTATTGGAGAGAGACGGGAATACTCGTGCAAACGGGTCGATTCCCTTTATTCTGTTTTCAGCGTGTTGACATAAGAAGAGACGACGGAATTGTATATCTCCAGGAGGGGGCAAACGGGATTTGCTGAGCTAGTATGGACCTAATCTCACACCATAATCGTGCTTGTTGAGTGCCCCAGCTGCCCAGCCCCGGCTTATCTCAGGGCCTTCTTGTTCGCCGCCTATGGGCAGGTAAATGGAAACGCAGCGCTATTGATTCGCCTTGTCGGTGGACACATCTGCCGCTTGACGCTTCCTAAAGCCCAAAAATCACGATTGAGGTGCGGAACATTGCTCTAATGCGGGATTTAACCTATCAATAAGAGATCTCTGGAAGAAATCCATTCCACCCCCCTTCTACTTCAAGAAGATAATAATGCGTAGTCATACTTGACATGAACAGTAACGAGAGCCCATGCACGCCGACCTAATAGGAGGTCAACCCACATTCAAGGCGAGGGCCTTTCCTCTCCGGTCATTGCGCCGACTGCACCAGGAAGATAAAGCTTAGCAGCCCTGACAAATCTAGACTACCCGAATCTTGGTATTCGGACGGCAATGGGCCCGCCCTTGTTTACCTGCGTTGGTCTCTTGTCTTCTAGCACTGAGTATCAGGGACTTTTCGCTCGGCATCGTTGGTGTGTGTTTCAAGTTTCATTTCTTCACGGGATGCAGCTCCTGTAAGCAGTCCATCTCTGTCCTGCGCAGTGTGTTAGCGCTCCCAACATAGAGAGACCGGGATCGAGGGAGGAAAAAGAAAAGGTATCCAGCGTCCGACAACCACCGAAAAAAATACAAATGGAAAATTAAGCCTGCAGCTACGGAAGCACTTACCCCGAAAAGCACAGCGATTTCCTCCAGTGGCAGACCCAGAGTATCTGGGAGATACAGCAAAATTGCGACCGCACAAAGGCACCCTGGTATGATGAAGCATAGATAGAATTTCCAGCCAATTTCACTGTATGTCTTGTCAGCCCTCCCGTACGTCAATTACGCTGGCAAGAAATGTACAAAGACCTACTCGAAGGCAGTAGGAGCAACAGACAGCCACATTACGTTCATCAAGGCCAGTGTGCCACAACCCAACGAGACTCCCTTTGCCCGGATGTGGGTGGGGAATATCTCGCCCAAGTAAACGAATTGGGCACTGTCCATGGCAAACTCGTAGATGAATACGAAGATGAACAACATTGCAACAGCCGCCTTGAGAGCATTCGAATTCTGGGTATCCACGAAGTTGGCCACGAGCGCGGCTTCAATGATGAGGCATGTCTGGCACCCGAGGAGACCAAAACCAATGAACTTTGGACGTGGAATCTTGTCGACGACCAATAGTGCCAGACATCCTCCGCCCCAGCCCAGCGTGAGCCACGCCGCAGCGTACATCAGTTGAGTCTTGGTATCATAACCGAGGCCACCGTAAATCTATCGTAAATGTATCAGCGCGGAATCTTGTCGGTTACAGACAACCGCAGAACTCACCATGGGACCGTAATCTATATGAGTTAGCTAAAGAGTTCCCGGTATTACGGCAATGTTTTAGAAACGAGGCCTTACTGTTTATCACTAAGATACCAGATGTTTGTATTGCTGCAAACGTGCCCATGCCAATCAAGGTGCGTTTTCTGTAACTCGGCTTGGAAAACATTGCCCAGTAAGAATCCTCGAGGGTCTTATCGATTTCGGTTTGAGCCAAGATTTGAGTGTACTCGATGTCGGCTTCTTCTGGTATATGGAGCTTCAACAATGTTCTCCGTGCCTCATCATGGCGTCCTTTCAGCATCAGCCAGCGAGGAGATTCGGGAAGCCAGTAGAGAAAGCAAAGGAGCAAGAGGGCTGGGAGACCTTGAAAGACTGGGCGAAAGAACATCAATTTGTTGATTTTGACTCGGGACATCGAAGTCGAGACTTACCAAAGGGAAATCTCCAGGCATGCGGGCTATCCAGGTGATAAAAGCCGTAACCTACCCAGCAAGATGAAGCGTAGCCGAAGAGCAAGCAGGCCCCGTTTAGGGATACAAAGGCTCCACGAACGGCGGGAGGGGCGATTTCGGTCATCCACAGCGTGACTGCTGACATCATCATGTAGGTCCTACTAATCCTTAGTATCAGATCACAGATTGAAGTTGAGGTTAGCTCACCCCGCCCCAGAGACGAAACGAAACAAGATGAACTCTCCCACGTGAACAGATCCAGCAAGCATGCCCCCCGAAATTATGATGACTACCGCTGCCTGGACAGAATAATTAGCTGAAGATGATCCAAATCAATAAATGAAATACTTACTACTGCAATGGCTGCTCTTCGACCCCATTTATCCGCGAAGTAAAAGACTGTCAAAATGAATATAGCAGCACCAGCAAAGAACAATGCCTAGAGATGAAGTGCTTTAGCAAAATGACTGGCAATCTTTCGATATTACATACATTCATGCAGGATATAAGGCTGGTGGTGTCTGATCTGGTCGCAAGATCAAAATAAGTGATGAACGAGGGTTGAGCTAAGAACGAGGTGAGCACAAGTCCCAATAGTGTCACAACCTTTGCGGCGTACCTATAGCTGGTCCAATGACACCAGATGCGTAGCCAAAGGAGATGCTTCCAAGACCTATGCTCAGCATCTACGCACAATCAGCATTGGCGCATACAAACGGATTGGCAGACTACACTCATACCGCAAAAACTGTGTATGGTTTCCATTGTCGACCATGAGAATGTTCGATATAGACTGTGGTCAGTCGTTGAGAAGGAATGGTGTCAGACATCCTGGACAAGTTCCTTGTGAGGTCTCTGGTAGTCAAAGATGAACTGCCTCTGAGAGCGAGATCTGTGACAGGTAATAGTGCTTTTATACTGTATTCTACTCGTCTTATCTTCTAGCTCATGGTTTCCTCTCCCAATGCATCGCGACAGCACTTCGGTATCAATTATTCATATTCCGCATGTCCATCATCCCAATGTCGGCATATTGAAATATGGCGCCTCTTGATCCACTACTGATTAATAGTCTCGTTTCAATCCTTTCATAATTCAAGGGCTGTTCCTGCCGCTTGGAGGGATCGCGAACTTCCCGAGCAAACACCGATGCGATCGTCACGTCTTTTGGAAACGATTCAGGTTACGAAGAGATAAGAACTGTGCTCGTTCTAAGACCCGGTGTATCAACAGTCTGGCTGGGCTCAGGATGCGGATCCTGATGCGGATGCAGTCCGAAGGTCGGTGATGCGTCGATAAGATATAGCTAAGATATTTCGAATGCTTATCATGCGGATAGAATGCGGAACCAGACGCTGTCAGAATTGGCTGATTGACAAAGCCACTAGGCTCTAGTGGACACTCGTCCTGAGACTAGACACCCCACTCGGTCCACGGGCGATAAGATTCTAAGGCCGCTCGATATCAAGCCTCTGTCCAAGCAGTCTTAGTAACCCATCAGCAATTTCATTGAAAGTGAAGAAGGTATTTCCTATATATGTCCAACATTCTTAAGAGTTGAGCTATACCGAACCCTTGAAGCCACCCGCGATTTAAACATAGAATTTTGATCTCGTCCTATTTCATTCGACACAGCCGGTCACTATATTTCGTATCCTTTAAGCCTTATAACTCTTACCTTGTTGTCATTATTCTACGTAGCTCCCCATGGCCGTCAGTCACCAAGTAGAGTTCGGTTCTCGCAGCACCACCGGTAAATGGACCCCCTTTGATTGGGACGACCCTGTCTACGGAGCACAATCAAAAGGCGAGGTTGTGACAATTCGTACCGGAGGTACGTCTGGGACATTGGCCTCAGGTCTCTGGAGAACCGGACCTGGAATTGCGGGTTGCAATACTTATGGCTCTTGCGACGTCGTATACTCAGCTCCACTAGGCGATGAGACAATGCTGATTTTGGAGGGTTCGGCGGAAGTCACTATCACATCGACGGGTAAGAGATACCACTTCGAAGCCGGGTCAATCTTGAGCCACCCAAAGCATCTCGATGTTTCTTGGCATGTCAATGGACCGTTTTTGAAGAAGTTCTGGACCATTTGGGATGCCTCGCCACAGCCAGGAGTCAAAGGCGATGATCTCTATGTCGGCAATATCAATGATAATCCGAAAAGTTGGACTCCATTTCAGTGGAATGAACCAGGACAAGGCCCTCAGTTAGTAGGCGAATACACCCTGGTGCGCAGTATAGGATCCACAGGCACACTGAAAGTGGGATTATGGCGAACTGGGCTCGGGATGCCTGGCTGCCAGCCGGATGGCTCAGCTATCTTGGACTACAGCGCCCCGCTCGGCGACGAGACGATCATGTTGCTCGAGGGTCTAGTGACAGTCGTCGAAGCTGAAACCGGGAAAACGCACAAATTCCAAGCAGGCGATATCATTGCACTGCCGTCTGGCTTGAAGGTCACATGGATTTCAGAAGCGCCGTTCACAAAAACATTCTTCGTACTTACTAAAGGCCAACTAGCTGACTGATTAGTGAGACTGAATGACAAGCATGTGGCTAAGCAGATGGGCAAGAATAACGGACATACTCAATTGAAGAGTGTCCAAGACAATAACTTTAAAGATAGAAATGAGATCATTTATATCAGCGATAATGGCAAACACAGTGTGACCATAACTGTTAAAGTCGTCTATAATCATAACAGTAGCGAATAGCTCATCAGTGTATGTACAGTGGGCCTATAACCACAGAAATTGCGCTCTGGGTTACTCCTGCTCAACCAAAAAGCAAGTTTTGGGGCAAGGAAGCTCTATCCGAGGTCGAGAGTAGAGCCTAGATCGGGACCAGGTAGCTTCGAGAAGTCCGTTAATGGTGGTACAGGATCCCAAAAGTGGGCGTGCCTAGTATAGCTCAGTCTAAGCTCAGACTAGCTCACATCAGGATGGCGAGAGCTTACTTTTAAAGACGGAAATGGATTTTGGATCGATTGAGTTTCGTCTTTGAGTACTGTGGGATTGATTATACCTAATGCGGAACGTGACATAGGAGCGTGGGATTGGGGGCTAATAACTACGGATCGATGTTATTGTTAAGCCTTGGGCTCAAATAGGAATGAGGTGGTATCAGGTCAAATTTTGCCCACCATTATTGGGTGCTCTTCTCGCACGGTTACTACAACGTTGAATAATGAATAATACGGTACGTGACTTATCAGTGTTACTCTTACTTATAATATTACAGTTAAAAATGGCAAGAGTCATTTTGCTGAGCCATCTCGGTTCACTGGTTTAGTATCAAGTATAATAATGTGGTTCCATGGGGTTGAGAGGTCACAATATTGGACAAATTGTGAAGTCTACTCATTGAGTTGTGGTACTAGTCTTGAGCACTTACTGCCGTGATGACTGTGACGGGTCCTTCCCGGGTGAATCTTTCAATAGCGATCCAACTGACCAAAGAGGTTAGGTGACAAGTGGCATGACTTGATCTGACTACCAGGGTATTCTATGTGGAAAGGTAGCGTGCAGAGATTAGTGCTGACTCCAAATTATTATATCATTGGTAGCATCGTTCCGGACAGGAGACCAGGGAAAGGCTGAGTGGATTTACATCAGGGCTTTTGTTTAGCACAGCAGGTAGCCAATAGAATTACAACTAATACTATGCAGAACGCAGCCTTGAGCATATCACGTTTCATTAGAATTAAAGATTTTGGTGTCGTAATAGTTTCCAGGCTCAACACTCCATGGACATGTGATGCACTGTATTTGACAATCGGAATCATCTCGGTCTAAGCTACTATCTCGTGCTTGAGTCCATTCCTTTGCCCACCATGAGCAGAGCTTTTGTCGCAGTTCCTCGACCTAGTCGAACATGTTATGATCAATATCAAGCTTCCTAAAGCATCCAAAACCACATCTGTGTAGCAATGGATCAATTGAGGTGGATCATAAGAGAAAGCATAGCCTGTTTGCATATATATATTCCTTGCAGAATTCTTGAGCTGGGGTGCGCGAAGGTTTGAACTCATCAAAGAAAGCACTGATCACATCCAGTAACATTGAATTAATTTAAATTGTGCCTTATATCAACTCAACATGCTTACCACAACGTTCACAGCCTTGATTGCAGTGGTGGCCAGCTTTGCTGCCGCCTTACCCAGCCCAGCTCAGGCCGATGCCCCAACACGAGTGGAGGAGCCCTTGTCAAAGCGTACCGAGTAAGTCGTGTGAGAGTCCTTGCATTGAATTCGGTTAATATGGTTCAGTCATTACGGTCTCGGGACAATTTACCAGCAGCTTGGAGGCTATGGCTCATGTGGTATTCAGAACCCCGATTCTGCTCTGATCGCCGCTCTTGGAAATTACTGGATGAAGAACCAGTATCAGTCCGAGTATTGCGGCCGTTTGATCCAGGTCACGAACACTGGCAGTGATGATGGTGTAGGTGGCAAAGGCAATACCGTCGTTGTAAAGGTGCAAGACACATGCCCCAGCTGTGATGAGAATCACATCGACTTTTCTGTCGGGGCTTGGAACCAGTTGACCAACAACGCTGCTTGGGGAACTGTGAACATTGAGTGGTACGTAGTTCCTTGATCATGCGAATATACTAAATTGAGGCTAATATACAATACTTAGGCATTTCTGTAATGTCAACGGCCAATGTTAGTATCATTCCCATATTTATTATAGATGATCAGGACTCTACTATTCGTGGGCATATTTATACTTATACAGTTCAACAACATGTTGGACTTGAATTCCACTCTCTACCTAGCAACTGACGATGTTGTATTCATGTTCCTGTACATACTTTTTATCATTCATTCTAGATAAATATCAAGATTGGTTTGATTCATCATGATATTTATCTAGAATGAATG